CTGATTCCCCACCACCACCTGTGGCTCGTTTGCTCGATCAGAGGCAGCGGGACATGGCAACCCGGCGTAAGGAGGTGCGCATGTGAGGTCGGCGTCCTCTAAGCCCAGAGTACTGACCGGAGCCAGGACCCTGTTAAGTGAAGGTTAAAGGTTTCCTTGCTCGAAAGCCAGTCGAATCCGACTCTAGGGTTGCAGTGCTCATCTCCGTTTCAAAGCCGAAGAGCCAGCGCTGTCCGAAGATGTTTCTGTGGTCATGTGGCCAGCATGACTAAACACCAAGGCGCACGGAACGCTGTTCCCTTCCCACCGGAGTGGTCCCTATTTATCTACTTGCAATGTCTTGCTTTCGAACTGCTAGGTTGGCAGGAGCTGGAACCAGAGACGGGAGCTCACTCCATCATGCGGCACACTCCGGTCTTGAACTGCTGAACTACTGACCTTCCACAGCCTGCAGTTCAGCGTCTTAACCACTTGAGCCACTGCAGCTCCTTAGGACCCTGTTAGCGGCGGGTAATTGGCTAACAAGTGGAACAGGCTTTTTAGGCGGCTCTCCCACATTCCCAACTCGTGCTGGCAACTAATCGCTTCGATGAAACGCTGCATCCCGGATCTTGTGTTCCTGTCTCCTGGTTTTCTCTCAGACTTCCCGGCTCCTGACTTTGGCTTACCTGCCCGGCTCCCTGACTTCGGATTGTGTACCCTGACTTTGACGAACGGCCTTCGGCTCCTGAACTCTGCTTGCAATCTCCGGTAACCCTAGACTGGGTGTTGACTTGATATTCTGGACTCATAAGAACATAAGAACATAAGAGACGCCAATGTTGGATCAGGCCAAAGGCCCATCCAGTCCAACACTCTGTGTCACACAGTGGCCAGAAATACCAGTGCCATCAGGAGGTCCAGCAGTGGGGCCAGGACATTAGAAGCCCTCCCACTGTTGACCCCCCCCCCAAGCACCAAGAAGACAGAGCATCACTTGCCCCAGAGCCCCTAGCTATACCTTGTGGCTAATAGCCACTGATGGACCTCTGCTCCATATGCTTATCTAATTCCCTTTTGAAGCCGTCCATGCTTGTAGCACCCACCACTTCCTGTGGCAGTGAATTCCATGTGTTAATCACTCTTTGGGTGAAGAAGTACTTCCTTTTATCCGTTCTAACCCGACCGCTCTGCAGTTTCATGGAGTGCCCACGAGTTCTTGTATTGTGAGAAAGAGAGAAAAGTACCTCTTTCTTTACCTGCTCTTTCCCATGCATAATCTTATAAACCTTGATCATGTCACCCCTCAGTCGTCTTTTCTCCAAGCTAAAGAGCCCTAAGCGCTTTAACCTTTCCTCATAGGGAAAGTGTTCCAACCCTTTTATCATTCGAGTTGCCCTTTTCTGCACTTTTTCCAAAGCTATAATATCCTTTTTAAGGTGTGGTGCCCAGAACTGCACACAGTATTCCAAATGAGGTCTCACCATTGATTTATATAGGGGCATTATTATATTGGCTGATCTGTTTTCAATACCCTTCCTAATAATCCCCAGCATAGCATTGGCCTTCTTTATTGCAGTCACACACTGTCTCGACATTTTCAGTGAGTTATCCACTACAACTCCAAGATCTCTCTCTTGCTCAGTCTCTGCCAGTTCAGACCCCATCAATGTGTATTTATATTTAGGATTTTTGGCTCCAATGTGCATCACCTTGCACTTGGCCACATTGAACCCCATTTGCCATGTTGACGCCCACTCGCCCATCCTTGACAGATCCCCTTGGAGTGCCTCACAATCCTCACTGGTTTTCACCACCCTGAACAACTTTGTATCATCCGCAAATTTAGCCACTTCACTGCTTACTCCCATCTCCAAACTCTGCTCTGTCTCATCTGGTGCCCTGACCCTGGACTGTGTTTTGGACTTTGGGTACCCTGCCTAGGCCGCCAGCGCAATCGTGACACCTCCTGCACGAGAGAGAAGGAGCGGGGCTGTTCTCACCTCTTCCAGCTTTAGGCCAAAAATGAAGGAGTTCACACCTCTTTCCGAGAAGCAACAATGCTGAAGGAGCAAGGGGGTGCCATGGCCAATTTCTTGGGGGTGGGACTGAACCTTCTGAATTAAATCAAGGAACGCTTCCTGCTTGGCGGCTGAGGAGAGGACTCGCAAGAAAGGGTTCAAATCATGGACAGAAAAATTCAGCAGTAGAATGGGTTGCCTCGGGAGGTGGTGGGCTCCCCCTCACTGCAGTCCGGACGAACCCTTGTCAGGGATGCTCTAGGCTGGTCCTGCATGGAGCAGGAGGTTAAACTAGATGGCCTGTAGGACCCCTTCCCACTCTGTGGTTCTACAGGAGGTCAGAAGAAGAAGAGATTGGATTTATACCCCCCGCCCTTCACTTGGAGTCTCAGAGCGGCTTACAGACTCCTTTCCCTTCCCCTCCCCAGAACAGACACCCTGTGAGGCGGGTGGGGCTGAGAGAGCTCTGACACAAACTGCTCTTTTTCAAGGACAGCTGTGCCAGAGCTTGTGACTGACCCAAGGTCACATCAGCAGGTGCAAGTGGAGGAGTGGGGATTCAAACCCGGTTCTCCCAGATCAGAGTCTGTACACTTAACCACGACACCAAACAACCGGTGGGAAGACTAGAGCAGGGATGTCAAACTCATTTTGTTAGGAGGGCCAGAGCTGACATAAATGAGACCTTGTTGGGCCGGGCCTCGTGTGTCATAAAAGGTAACGCCAAGTAGCAGAGATATAAGCTTTATAAAGGACACAAACACAAAGATTTTTTTTTTTACTTAAAATAAAAACATGCTTAAAACCACGGGTCATTTTGTAGAAAAAGAGGTGCAGGAGCTCATTAGCATGACTTATTAGCATGACTTATTTGCATGACTTATTTGCATATGCCACACCCCCTGACATCACCGGAAGTGTGTCAGAAGGCAACGCCTACCGCTCAGGCTCCACTGGACTGTTTTGGATTGCTAGCTGTGGGGGGGGGGAAGGTGCAGATCTGTCCTCGCAGAGGAGGGAGAGCTTGTACCTGAATAAAACTTGGTCTTAAAGGTGTCACTGGACTGTTTTGGCCTGGGGGGAGGGCTCTGCAACTCCAACTGAGGGTTGCTGGGAGGAGGGGGCGGGGCTTGTTGCATGTGCTCATCCCCTGGGCTCTTTACTGCCGGAGCTCCGCTCCTGTGCGCTCCTGCAGGAAATGACCCCTGCTTAAAACATTAGCTCTGTAAGCTGCAAACCTACTTTTCATTTAGTGACATTCACCACAGAAATCTCACACTCAGAGTTCTGAGTCTAGGACCCAGGGTTAAAACATGAAATGGCTGAGTCATTCAGAGAGTCTGGCGAAGCAAGCTATGATGCAGAAGCAGCAGCAGAACTGGAAGCAGAAGATGGCCAGTTCCACTGTGGGCCTGATGGAAGCCCTCCGGGGGCCTGATCTGGCCCCCGGGCCGCATGTTTGACACCCATGGACTAGATGTTGTAGTCCTCATATCAAGGCTGGATCTTTGGATCCGAAATAACGATTTTGCCTCTCAAAGTCTCTGCTCGGTTTGCTGGAGGAAAATAGCTAATAATGGAGAGAAAAAATCTTCATTTGCAGCTGGCTAGCCAGGCGGAGCCATGAGGGAACCAGGCCATTGTTTTTAGTAGGACCACATGGTGCTTAATCCAGCTGCCATACGCCAACTATGGACCTGGGTGGAAATTACAAGGGAGTTGATACCGGCTAACTATCAGGAGAAACATCCTAACTGTAAGAGTGGTTGAGCAGTGGAACACAGACTGCCTTGGGAGGTGGTGGACGCTCCTTCGCTGGATGTTTTCAAGCGGAGGCTGGACAACCATCTTTCAGGTACATTGTGCGTATCTAGGTATGTAGGGCTATCTTTCGGCTATGCTCCTGCAGAGTGCCGGGGGTTGGACTAGATGACCTGCAAGGTCCCTTCGACTCTAACATGCTTTGATTCTATGATTCCCTTGGTCCAGTTGATGGCACACCCACTCAGCTGGAGTCCTGTGTCCAGTTTTGGGCACCACATTTTAGGAAGGATGTTGACAAGCTCGAGCGTGTCCAGAAGAGGGCAACCAGGATGGCGAGAGGGTTGGAATCCAAGTCTTACGAGGAAAGGCTGAAAGCGTTGGGTCTGTTTGCCTGGGAAAGAGAAGGCTTAGAGGGGACAGGATTGCAGTCTTCAAGTATCTGAAGGGCTGTCATGTGGAAGATGGAGCAGATCTATCCTCTCTTGCTCTGGATTGCAAGACTAGATTGAATGGCTGGAAATTACAAGGGAGTCGTTACCGGCTGAATATCAGGAGAGACTTCCTAACTAAGAGTGGTTGAGCAGTGGAACAGTCTGCCTCGGGAGGTGGTGGAGGCTCCTTCGCTGGACGTTTTCAAGCAGAGGCTGGACAACCATCTTTCAGGTACATTGTGCGTATCTAGGTATGTAGGGCTATCTTTCGGCTATGCTCCTGCAGAGTGCCGGGGGTTGGGCTAGATGACCTGCAAGGTCCCTTCCGACTCTAACATTCGATGATTCCCTTGGTCCAGTTGATGGGACACCCGCTCGGTTCTTGGCATCCAACAAGCGGCGTTCTGCCCCTTCAATACTTCATTCCCAAAGCGGTGGGATATTCAGAGCAGTTGTGAGACATTCCCTCCCCCCCCCCTCGCAAACCAGAGTCCACACTGACAAAATCCAAAGACAGAATGCAGAAAGGGCCTTCGTTCAGCTACTGGCTTTGAAATTCCGGGCTGCGGGGGGGGGGGGGGGGGGGGGGCTCCTCCAAACCTCCCTGGCCAAAGTAAAAGAGCCGAGAGTTCAGGAGCGGTGGCCCGGTCATCTGGTTTCTGTTTGTTTGAATTCCCATCTCCTGGGGGGGGGGGGACTGGACGGGTTGGTGGCAGAATGGAGTGTCCTTTGAAAAGAGGCCAAGAGGAACAGGTGGCCCGAAAGTCAGGCTGTAGCGGGCTCAAAACGGCCTGCAACCTGGAGGTAAGAGATACTCCTCTCTCCCCGTGCTTAATCCAGCTCCGTTACACCAAGTATAGAAGGGAGACAGCTCTGTCCTACTTTTAATACCGTGCCGAGGGCCCGCGGTGGCGACAGCAAACGGTAGGTAAACCGCTCGCGTCTTTCCCTCCGCTGAGAGTAGACATGGAGGCCTGTTCTCCGTGGCGGTGACTTGGGTCAGGTGGGATTCCAGGTGCCCTGGCCCGTTGCTTTGCTCTGAGCCCCTCTGCGGATTGGCCAGAAGGAATAATCTCTGCACAGGGTTCCGGCCGAGGACTACCTGCCCAGGTCAACGCCACTTCTGGCACAGGTAACTTGGGAGTCCGGCAGGTAGAGGAGTGGTCTTCCTTGGGAGGCTGCTTGAGGTGGGTGGAATGGGCGGCGGGGAGCTCTCGCACGGCTCTCTGTGGCTTACACGACAGTGGCCTGGTGGATCGTGCCCCACACCTTAGTTACCGGGAGGGAGGAGCGCCGACTGGATTTTGCAGCCCCCCCTCCCCATCCCATGAGCTGTTCTGGGCATTGTGCTATTTCCAAAGGGGGTCTGTTGGGAATGTTCCCTCTAAGCTATGGAGTCTTGTGAGCAAAAAGTCTGCTTTGTGAGCTACCGGCATTAAAGTTGTGAGCAAGCGATTTGGCGACTGCATAAATTAGTTAGCTCTGGAGACATCCTTCCTGAGCGAAGACAAAAATGTGTGAGCCAGGGGCTAAAAAACTGTGAGCTAGCTCACAGCAACTCAGCTTAGAGGGAACACTGGTTGGGATCCCTGTCTGGTCTGAGACAGCTCCGGGGAACCATTTGCGGTAGCTGACGAGTCCGGTGTTGCGTCAAGGTCTTTCGGCCGGTGGCTATTTTCAGTCCCTCTCCAGGGCAGGATCTTGGCCTGCCTTTTGCTGAGGGCAGCAGTTTCTCCCTTCTCCTTCTTCCCCCAGGAGTTACTTGCCCTGCAAGCTCTTTTCTGTGGTCTCTCAACTTTCCACCCGAGGGCATATAGACGGGGTGGGAGTAAGACCCAAACGGAGAGCCAGTCCGGTGTCGTGGTGAGGAGCGCGGGCTCTAATCTGGGAGAACCGGGTTTGATTCTCCCACTCCTCCACTTGCAGCTGCTGGTGTGACCTTGGGTCAGTCACAAGTTCTCTCAGAGCTGTTCTCTCAGGAGCAGTTCTCCAGAGAGCTCTCTAAGCCCCACCGACCTCACAGGCAGTCTTCCCTCTAAGCTGAGTTAGTGTGAGCTAGCTCACCGTTTTTTAGCCTCCGGCTCACACATTCTTTGTCTGCGCTCAGGAAGGAGGGCTCCAGAGCAAACTGATTTTGGCAGCGGCCAAATCGCTCGCTCACAACTTGAATGCCAGGAGCTCACAGAGTAGAATTTTTGCTTGCAAGACTCCACAGCTTAGAGGGAGCATTGCTCACAGGGTGTCGTGGGGAGGGGAAGGGAAAGGGGATTGTGAGCTGCTCTGAGACTCCTTTGGGTAGTGAAGGGCTATGGGGTACAGATCACATCACCTCCTCCTTCTCTTCTTCTTCTTCTCCTCCTCCTCCTCCCCCCCCCCCGTTGCAATCTGCGCTGGCCTTTTGGCTCTAGATGACCGCCTGCCTCATGCAAAAGGGCGTTATGTTGGCTGTCTGTGCCAGCTCTGGAGCCCTAAACTTTAAAACTTTGTGAGAAACCTCCCAAAGAACAGTTCGAAAAGATGCACAAAGTAGTGACATTGAAGCAGGAAACCACAGAGAGCAGCGGGTTTGGGGAGAGCGTGAGGTTTGTAGGAGAGAAGGACATCTGTTCCTTGGGGCGTTTGAGGGTTGCCAGCGATGGGTTTGGAAATACCTGGAGATGAGACGGTGGCGCCCGGAAGAGTGGGCTTTAGGAAGCGGAGGCACCTCTGGAGGCTACAGTTTTCTCCAGGAGAAGTGGCATAAATGTTTGCAGTTGGTGACACCACAGAGAGAGAGAGCTTATTACTCAGCACCGGGGTCATTTCCTGGAGGAGCGCACAGGAGCGGTGCTCCGGCAGTAAAGAGCCCGGGGGGGCGGGCACATGCAACAAGCCCCACCCCCTGCTCCCAGCAGCCCTCAGTCAGAGCAAAGAGCAGCCAGGTAAGCTGAACCCCCCCCCGCCCCCCGGTCCAAAACAGTCCAGTGGCACCTTTAAGACCAAGCTTTATTCAGGTACAAGCTCTCCCTCCTCTGCGAGGGCAGATCTGCACGTTCCTTCCCCCCCAATAGCTGGCAATCCAAAACAGTCCAGTGGAGCCTGAGCGGTGGGTGTTGCCTTCTGACACACTTCCGGTGATGTCAGGGGGTGTGGCATATGCTAATGAGTTATGCTAATGAGTTGTGCTAATGAGCTCCTGCACCTCTTTTTCTACAAAATGACCCCTGGAAATAAATAAGCGATTTATGTGGTCCTAGGGTTGTCAGATCCAGGTTGGGAAACTCCTGGGGATTTGGGGATGGAGCCTGGGGAGGACAGAGACCTCAGTGGGGTACAATGACGCAGAGTCCGCCCTGCAAAGCGTCCATTTTCTCGAGGGGAACTGATCTCTGCCGTCTGGAGATGAGCTGTAATTCTGGGGGGTCCCCAGGTCCCACCTGGAAGTTGGCATCCCTATGTAATCTGGAGTTCAGTTTTAATTCCGGGTAATCTCCGGCCCCGTTTTGGAGATTGGTAACCCTGCAAAAGGGTGCCTGTCCTGGGCAACGTGAACGTGGTTGAAATAACAATCCCTGCACCCCTCAGAATGCATGCGGTTTTCACAGGCCGACACAGAAGAAAAGGAAGGAGCCGGGCATATCGAAAATCAGGGCTGCGGTCGCCGTTGGGCTTAATGAAAGCTGTAGATTGTTAACCGGCAGCGAGCAGTTTTCATTAGTGGGGCTGCAAAGCTGTGTTCCCTCTAAGCTGAGTCAGTGTGAGTTAGCTCACGGCTTTTTAGCCTCCGGCTCGTGCATTTTTCTCTTCGCTCAGGAAGGGATGGCTCCAGAGCAAACTAATTTAGGCAGTGGCCAAATTGCTCGCTCACCACTTTAATGCCAGTAGCTCACAAAGTAGGATCTTTGCTCACAAGACTCCACAGCTTAGAGGGAGCATTGCTTGCAACCAGTGTTCCCTCTAAGCTGAGTGAGTGTGAGCTAGCTCACAGTTTTTTAGCCTCCGGCTCACACATTTTTGTCTTCACTCAGGAAGGGATGGCTCCAGACCAAACTAATTTAGGCAGTAGCCAAATCGCCTGCTCACCACTTTAATGCCGGCAGCTCACAAAGTAAGATTTTTGCTCACAAGACTCCACAACTTAGAGGGAGCACTGGCTGCAAGATAACGGACACATCCGTTAATGGTTTGAAGCCGTTTTGCTTCCGGTGGGTTACTGTAGGAAGAAATGGTAGGGGAAATGAAGGCTGCCCTTTCCTGTCAAGCTTTCTTGGATGAACGTCACAAAGAGTAGTTCCAGGTGGTCAGCTGTGTTGGTCTGAAGCAGTAGAACCAATTTAGAGTCCAGTGGCACCGTTAAGACCAAGAAAGGTTTATTCGAGGTATGAGCTTTTGTGCGCGTGCACACTTTTTCAAATACATTGGAATGGAAGGTAGAGTGGTTTGAAGTAGCTGAAGAAATGTGCATGCACACGAAAGGTCATAAGAACATAAGAGACGCCAATGTTGGATCAGGCCAAAGGCCCATCCAGTCCAACACTCTGTGTCACACAGTGGCCAGAAATACCAGGTGCCATCAGGAGGTCCAGCAGTGGGGCCAGGACATTAGAAGCCCTCCCACTGTTGACCCCCCCCCAAGCACCAAGAAGACAGAGCATCACTTGCCCCAGAGCCCCTAGCTATACCTTGTGGCTAATAGCCACTGATGGACCTCTGCTCCATATGCTTATCTAATTCCCTTTTGAAGCCGTCCATGCTTGTAGCACCCACCACTTCCTGTGGCAGTGAATTCCATGTGTTAATCACTCTTTGGGTGAAGAAGTACTTCCTTTTATCCGTTCTAACCCGACCGCTCTGCAGTTTCATGGAGTGCCCACGAGTTCTTGTATTGTGAGAAAGGGAGAAAAGTACCTCTTTCTTTACCTGCTCTTTCCCATGCATAATCTTATAAACCTCGATCATGTCACCCCTCAGTCGTCTTTTCTCCAAGCTAAAGAGCCCTAAGCGCTTTAACCTTTCCTCATAGGGAAAGTGTTCCAACCCTTTTATCATTCGAGTTGCCCTTTTCTGCACTTTTTCCAAAGCTATAATATCCTTTTTAAGGTGTGGTGACCAGAACTGCACACAGTATTCCAAATGAGGTCTCACCATTGATTTATATAGGGGCATTATTATATTGGCTGATCTGTTTTCAATACCCTTCCTAATAATCCCCAGCATAGCATTGGCCTTCTTTATTGCAGTCACACACTGTCTCGACATTTTCAGTGAGTTATCCACTACAACTCCAAGATCTCTCTCTTGCTCAGTCTCTGCCAGTTCAGACCCCATCAATGTGTATTTATATTTAGGATTTTTGGCTCCAATGTGCATCACCTTGCACTTGGCCACATTGAACCCCATTTGCCATGTTGACGCCCACTCGCCCATCCTTGACAGATCCCCTTGGAGTGCCTCACAATCCTCACTGGTTTTCACCACCCTGAACAACTTTGTATCATCCGCAAATTTAGCCACTTCACTGCTTACTCCCATCTCCAAATCATTAATGAACAAGTTAAAAAGCAGTGGACCAAGTACTGATCCCTGCGGTACCCCACTGCTTACCACCCTCCACTGAGAAAATTGCCCACCTACACTCACTCTCTGTTTTCTATGAACTAGCCAGTTTTTGATCCATAAAAGGACTTGTCCTTCTATCCCATGATTTTTGAGCTTACTTAGGAGCCTTTGATGAGGAACTTTATCAAAAGCTTTCTGGAAGTCAAGGTAAATAATATCTATTGGATCCCCCTTGTCCACATGTTTGTTCACCCCCTCAAAGAACACTAACAGGTTAGTGAGACAAGATCTTCCCTTACAGAAACCGTGCTGAGTCTGCCTCAATAGGTTTTGTTCATCTATGTGCCTACTAATTCTTTCCTTAATAATGGTTTCCACCAATTTAC